TCAGAAATTTTGTTTATGGTGATACGGTTATACATTTAAGATCTGCTAAGAAACATGTGTTTGAGAATAATTGGAATAGTCCAATTAAAAGACATATTTTCAAGGTGTAGATTTTTTTTTTTTTTTTTTTTTTTTTTTTTTTGGTTTTTTTCTCCGGTACCGGGAACCGAACTCACGACCTTGCGCTTGCCAGGCAGGCGCTTTTGCCGCTGAGCTAAATCCCTAGCCCCAAGGTGTAGATTTTTTGAAAGATGATTATGATTATAATGTCCTGTCATCTCTCTCTTATGGAGATGTTTTAAAAATTTGATAAATCTAGAAGTTTCTCATCAGAACAAAAGGCAAAAAGTTAAAAAGATTTCATTATCTTTTCATTTTCTACTTAGTGACATTTCTCTACAGAATTATTTAAAGTATTGATTATGATCTTAAGCTCCAGTTGATTCCAGTGTTTGAAATAAAACTATGGTAATTAAAAAAGCAACGGCCAATATTTTTCCAGGTTGCCTTTCCCGGTGTGCAGATGGGCCCAGGGTATGCTGGGCATTTCTTATGTGGCTGGTGCACTTAACGATGTCGATCCAGGCCGACATTTCATGTTCTTCTCAGTCACACAGCAGGTTTGTCTGTTTTGGATATTGAGTGCCTGTCACATTGGATGATGTATGTTTTATGTGAAAATGTTAGAATTATTGTGACCTTTGAGAATAGGGAAGGAAAGCTGTTCATGTCAGAAAAATATAAAACAGAATTCCTCTTTCTAGTAGAGGGCACAAAGCCTCGTTCTGAAAGGAAGCAGGGTGGAAGGTGGATTGGACAGACATGCTTGGGCGAAGCCTGCCTCTGGTTGTGTTCTTTTTATACTCTGTGTTATGTTGGACAAGGATGCTTTTTCCTTTTGTGTCACTTCTGGGAGATTCCATTTCCTGATCAGATACGGTTTCCTCAGGAGAAGCCAGTCTGCCTCACTGAGACCAGCGTGGTGAGACCGTGTTTTCCTGAATGGAGTCAGTCTGCCATATGGCAGGTGAGTGAGTCACCACGACAGATTTGTAATGGGAAAAGGGCTGTGGAGAAGAGGATTGCGTGATCAGCAGATTTATAGATCAGAAAATGAAATGAGAAGAGAATTTCCCAAGTGCCCTTTCCATTTGACAGGTCTTCTGCACAGTAAGGGTGTAGAGTGGTTTGTGGTGGATTTCTATTTTGGTTTTTGGTTTTCCATTGTACTTTTTCCTAGCATGGGAGTAAGGCGTCAATGTTGTGGTTGTGGTGCAGCTGGACTCCGTTTGTGGAGGTGTTCGCTCTCTGGAGGGTGTAAAGCTGTTCTGTTTCACAGGGTGAGATCTTGGTAGTAATGAAATTCCTGGAGACATCAGGGCAAAAATGGGGATTGGCCAAGTATCAGGTCTTTGGTTGTAAGAGGAAGCTATTTAAATATGATTCAGCAAGTACTTATATTTCAAAAGAAAGAAAAACAGCGTAAACTAAAGCTAGTTTGTCCTGATATGTTCAAGCATGTGCTGTCCTAAATATTGCAGCCACTAATCCTAGGCACATAAGATTATTTCAGTTGTAATGAATTGAACATACAGGGCCAGGCATATAGCTCAGTGGCACAAGCGCCTGCCTGGCAAGTGCAAGGTTCTGAGTTCAATTCCCGGTACCAAAGGGGGAAAAAAATTGAACATACAGTTCCCTGGTCTCACCAGCCACATTTCCAGCAGTTGGCAGTCACATGTAACTAGTTACTGTATGTTGCGTAGCACAGAGAGAATATGCTGTGACTGCTGAGAGTCCTGTTGGACAGCGTGAGTCTGAGTGGAAGAATTTGATATCTGTGAAGGCTTCATCTCTATATAATTTATTGGATTAATACAGTGGTTCTAAGGCTTTTCTTTTTTTTTTTTGGGTTTTTGAGACAGGGTCTTGCTATGCGGTTCACGCTGGCCTTGAGCTCACTTTGTAGCACAGGCTGGCCTTGAACTCGAAACTGTCCTGCCTCAGCTTCCTCAGTGCTGGGTTTACAGGCATGCGCCACCATGCCTGGCCTGGTTCTAGGGCTTTAATGGGCAAAAGACTCATCTATAGAGCTTGTTTAAAATGGAGATTTTAGACCCCTCTCCAGATTTCGTTCATCAGATCTGGAGGAGGAAACAGAAAATTGCCTAGGGAATTTGGATGCTGCTAGGTGCTTCAGGGACTACATTTTGAAAAACAGTGAAAAATCTGGGAATTGCTTATCTCTTGATATTTCCCCCTTCACTCTTTAATCATTGATAAACTCCTTTGTGCCCACAGTAATAGGTTGAGAGAATCAACCAACTTGTATTCTCAATTGGTATTAATTAGCAAAAAACAAAATTTATTTACCTTTACTGTTCTTTTTTCTTTAGTACTGGGGATTAAATTCAGGGCCTCCACACTGAGTTACATGCCCAGGTTTCTTTTTTTTTTTGTAATTTTGAGACATAGCTTCACTAAGCCACTAATTTGCCCCGGCTGGGCTTGACTTTGCCTTCCTCCTGCTTCAGCCTCCCAGACCCCTTTCATCCTTTCGTGGTGGTGGTGGGATGTTGGGGAACAAATCCAGGGCCCCCACACATGGTAAGCAGGCATCTATAGGCTGTACCTTCAGCTCCTGGGAAGGGAATTCTGATAATACTTTAGGAGTCTAAGAGCTGAGCACTCAGATCTTGTCATCATATATTTTTAATCAGATTTTTTTTTTTTTTTTTTTGTCTTTTTGAGACAGGGTCTTGCTATGCAGTTCAGGCCGGCCTTGAGCTCACGTTGTAGCCCAGGCTGGCCTCAGACTCACAACAATCCTCCGGCCTCAGCCTCCAGAGTGCTGGTATTACAAGCGTCCACCACCACGCCCGGCCTTTTAATCAGATTTTACTGGTACATTTTAGATATATACAATGATCACATTCATCATGGAGAATTTGTACCTGTACATGATATAAATTAATTCTTTTCCCCCATTCCCCCACCCTCCCTTCAACCTCTCCTCCCCTCCCCATTTACAAAACTTTGTTTCCGTCTTTCCTTCTTTTCTCATTTTTTTCCTTTCCCTTCTTTCCTTTCCAGATCTTGTCATTATGAAGAAGTAAAAAAGAAATATAACACATGATCTTTTCTGCAGGCTAGTTATCGAGTTGGAAAATGGACAGACGCATCCAGATAAATGACCTAAAGAACACTCAGCAATAAGCCAGGAAAAATGATAATAATTGGAAAAATAATAATAATAAATAATAATTAGAAAAATATTACAGCAGATTCTAAATCGTGACAGTACTCAAATTATGAACTAGCTCAGTTGAGGAGCTGCCAGCTTGCTTCCCTTGTACAAGCTGAAGGCGTCTTCTACAGTGACCTGGCCTCTGCCATCTGGATGGGCAGTTAAGGGAGGGTAGGGCCGGGCGTGGTGGCTCACACCTATAATCCCAGCACTTGGGAGGCAGAGGCAGGAGGATCACTGCAAGTTCGAGGCCAGCGTAGGCTACAAAGTGAGCTCAAGGCCAGCCTGAACTGCACAGCAAGACCCTGTCTCAAAAAAAAAAAAAAGAAAAAGGAGGGGGAGGGATCACCTTTGGGTATATCTATTTATTCCTAGGTTTTGACAAACAACTAGGCCAAAATGGCATGTGGAAAACTAAAGGGACTGCTCAGAGTACCCTGGGCTTAGGACTTTCCTGGGCTGGCCCTATTATCTGGGATTGTTGCCCAGAGAAATGCCAAGTAGAAAAGAAAAGGAGGTGAAGGTAGTTTATGAGGGGAACTGTCTTTAGGGAATTTTCAGTCAAGGAGTGCTGTGTACAAGCTCCAAACAGTAAATATTTTCTTGTAGGATGGTCATCAGCTTCTTTTCTTAGAGAGTAACCTCTTAGGCTTCTCCTGTGAGCAATATTGAAGAAGCAGTACGAGAAAGGAAAGGAGAGGAGGGGAGGGGAGGGGAGGGAAGGAGGAAGGAAGGAAGGAAGAAAGAAAAAGAAAGAAAAGAGAGAAAGCTTGGTTTGTTGGCAAAGAGTATGTTCACACCCATCATCTGGCAGATTTGTTGCTATATTGCTTTTGTCTCAGAGGCTGAGATAAATGCTATCCTTTCAGCAGCCACACCACCTCTCCTCCTAAGTCAGATTGATCTAATTCTCTGTTCAGAGCAGCAGGTGGAAGTCTCTTCACCCTTTCCACAAGGTATCAATGTTGTTTTTAAAAAGATACACATAGGCTGAGTGGTAGCCCATGCCTGTAATCCCAGCACTTGGGAGGCTGAGGCAGGAGGATACTTGCGAATTTAAGACCAGCCTGGGCTACAAAGTGAGGTCAAGGCCAGCCTGAACTGCATAGCAAGACCCTGTGGCAAAAAGACAAAAATAAAATAAATATAAAAATAAAAAAATAAAAAGATACATATAAAATGTTGTTGAAGTTGAAACCCCTTTGGGTATTACTAAGATGATGCTTTGTATGAGACTCTTTCCTTTTCTTTCTTTTTTTTTGGGACAGGGTCTCACTCTGTAGCCAGGCTGGCCTGGATCTGTATCCTACTGCCTCAGCCTTCTAGAGTGCACTTTCTTTGTCTTCTCTTTACCTAATCCTGTATCACCGCAATGAGATCAACCCGAAATTTCCTTTCTGTTTGAGGCTCTTCATCTGCCCCATGGCAACTGATATGTGATAAAGTTTCAACTGTCAAACAAATCAATTTTGCCGTGCATGGTGGTGCACACCTGTAATCCCAGCACTCGGGAGGCTGAGGCAGGAGGATTGTTGCGAGTTCAAGACCAGCCTGGGCTACAAAGTGAGCTCAAGGCCAGCCTGAACTGCACAGCGAGACCCCGTCTCAAAAAGACAAAAAAAAATTAAAAAAATAAAAAACGAACCAATTTTGAGTTGAAAATGAATGAGTTGAAACGCCAATTGCAAGTCTTCCTTTGGAAAACTGCTCAAAGTTGGTTTTCTCTCCTCCCCCTTGGGTCCTTGCGGCGCAGGTTAAGGGAGTGGCGACTGCGCTGAGACATGGATAGATGCAAACATGTAGGGCGGTTACGGCTGGCCCAGGACCACTCCATCCTGAACCCCCAGAAGTGGCGCTGTCTGGGGTGCGCCACCACCGAGTCGGTGTGGGCCTGCCTCAAGTGCTCGCACGTGGCCTGCGGCCGCTACATCGAGGACCACGCCCAGGAGCACTTTGTAGAGACCGGACACCCGCTGGCCATGGAAGTCCGGGATCTCTACGTGTTCTGCTACCTGTGCCAGGACTACGTGCTCAATGACAACCCCGAGGGGGACCTGAAGCTGTTGCGGAGCTCGCTGCTGGCGGTGCGCGGCCAGCAGCAGGACCAGCCGGCGCGACGCGGGCGCACGCTGCGCTCCACGGCTACGACCCTGAGCCCGGGGGCGGGCGAGGACGCCGCTCCGC